CGACACGCAGCAGCTCAAGGCTGCGCGCGTTTCTCTTTCGGATAAAAAAAGAAATAGAAAAAAAAAAAAAAAAACACGCACTTTCAAGTTTATCGAACGAAGCCGCCCGTGGGTGTCTGGCGGCACCGCGTAAAAATACGTGAGAACGATAAATTTGGTTTAAGGACGTTGTTGTTCAACAAATAAGGAGAGACACGGACGTTTTTTTTTCCCCGTTAATTCTTCGATATATAAATCAAAGACGCGCGTTCCCCTCCTTCATTATTAATGTATAAATAGCGCGATAACTTTTTAAAAATGATTTACGATCTACTTGTAAATTCGGTGATTTCGGGCTATTATGTGTCTATTTTATAGCCGCCGGGGCTCTCCGACAAACGTGTCGGGTCGCTCTGCGGGCGGTGTGGGTCCCACTTCGCTTCCTTCGATGCGGATCTACGCGCGTTTACACACGCCTCCTCCTCCTCGCCAAATCGTCGCCGCGCGTCCGACGCGTTGATCTAACAAGCGCGGCGCGGATTATGGAACGGACGCGATTGCGTTAATACGCACGGGGATCACGTAGGACAAGCGTCGTCGTTAATACTTAAAGGGATACGGCGCGTAAGCCGTAGGTCACGCGGAGGTGCGCTTCCTGTTTTAACGTCGCGCTCGCTGTTCCGTGTACTAACGAGTGTCGTCGTGTAAACCAGGAACCGCGCGTCGATCGCACATCCACGTTCGGATGGTGTACAACATGTAGCAGTACAATCGATACGTCGTTGTTCACGTTTGCGGAAGTATCGGATAATGACAAACCACAGGGTGGGTTCTAATTTGCGAGGTTTCGACTTGCAAGCCGCCAAAACTAACGTCGGCGCGTTGCAAAATTGTTGCAAAATGTTTAATCAATTTTTTCGCGACACACACGCGTTTAGAGAAAACAAATAAAAATGATCGAATATATAATTTCACGTGTTTCGAACGCGATCCGATCTCCGCTCGAAAATCCATCCTCGAAACAATCCCCTTAAAATAACACGACCGATGAAAGACAGACCCGTCGTCGTCCAGTTTCTCCGTTAGGAGGATTCCGTTACTTCAAACGCGCCTTGTTTTGAAACCGCGAGTGATGCGCGGCGAAATGTTTCAAAGTATTCTCTCCCTTTCTCTCTGCTTCGTTTCTCCTTTCACCTCTGTTTCCTCTTCTCCATCCCGCGTATATGTACGAATAGCGGGATTCGTCGGGGCTATTTCTGAGACCGGTGCGTGCGCGATGGATGCGGCAGAATTACGCGTGTCCTCGGGTAAGCCGCGGAAAGGTGACAGGTGCCGAGTGCTTCTATAAATTGCGATCTTGAAAGAAAGAACGGGGAGGGGAAAAGCAGAAAGAGATCGGGGGAGGTAGAAAGAGAGAAAGAAGAGGGAGAAACCCGCGAAATAATCCCTCTCGACTGCTATCTTTAGTCGATTTGCGTGCCCTAAACTGTTCTCTCCCTTCGAAACGCGCGTGCAATTGTGTAAGACGCTTTTGTATATCAGCAAATATTTGATATTTGTAAACTTTTGAATAAAAAAAAAAAAAACGAAACTTCGCAAAAGTTTTTCGCAAAAGTGATTGAATGTTTCAATAAAATAATATCGAAGTCTCAAATATATATGTACATGTGTACATCAATGAAAATTATTAATCGAAGCATTAATTATCTATTATTATTAAAGGTGGAAAATATTAAAGGAATTATTAATTAAGCCACAGACATAATTAGACGAGACATAAAAAAATTTTCCCTCGACAAAACAAAGCGAATTTTGCGCGACCGCGGAAGTAAATCGATACTCTTTTCGGGAGGTTAAGGTTTCTGGAATACACCTCAATGAATTTTCGTTGGCACCAGGTTGGAATCGCGCAAGTATATCGATTATGAATGAGTTTCCAGGTCCATTCAGATTGAACATGACCCAGCGTCCCAGAGAGAAGCCTTGGTCCATCCTCGGCTCGTCTAGAAGTCCGGTCACTTTCATTCTGCCCGTTCGTCAAGCCGCTGTTACGACCCTACGCAATTTCGCGATTGGCAAAAAAAAAAAAACGGAAGACGCGACGTTAATCGATCGAGAAACGCCCGAAGTAGTCTGTACTAAGTGTCAAACTCTACGACGCGTGTGCGCAAAATAAAAAACGAGCTTATCTACCCGCGTGTGATATTTTCTCAAATTTTTTATTCCTTCTTTTTCACATGCATCCGCAGTGTTTTGATTCGATGTCAACGATTTCGACGATTTAACGTATCTACCCGTTTGTTTCGTTAGATTTCAATTTTTTTAAACGAAAGAACAATCGATTTTCAAAGAAATAAAAACGAAGTGAGAAACGGATTCGCGAACGTTGAAGATGTTGCGAGCGAGAAAACGGTTCTCGATCGCGAGGTCTCGATCGCGACTTAAGAGAAACACTATTTGCTCTAGTTGTTTCTGCCAGAAGAGGTGCACACGAAGATTAACATCGCACGCTGCGGATATCCAACCGTGCGTAGAGAGTCCACCGCTGATGTGGACCTCTCCGCGCGCTCGGTTCTTTCCCTTCGCTTCTCCGCTTCGTATACATACACACGCACGCACACACGTTCGTTCGCGCGGCGGCGAGCCCTCGCGGCGGTTCTGACGACGGTAACTATTTCCAGACGCGTTTAATTAATCTTGAACCAAAAACGTCGAGTGGGAAAATGGCGGACGAACGGTCGGTTAGGCTCGGGCACCGGCCACCTGGCAGAAATAGCCAGCCATGGAAACGGCTCCACCGACTTGACGGTTTTCTCCGAGCACGCGAGAGAAAGAGAGAGAGAAAGAGAGAGACGCAATTATAGAAAGAGGAGAAGTAGGAGAGAGAGGGAAGTAACGGAAAAATAACCGAGGTAGACTTGGCACCTGCCTGACCGCTGTCTCGTCACCGACGACGTTTTCGAGACTTCTTCTTCGAGACGCGAGCGTGTCGCCAAAATTCAATCGCCGATTTTCCGACGATCGATCTATTATCTGCTTGATACGCATTTTCCGCATTGTCTCAAAATTCTCGTATTGTCCAAGCAATTCCCGAACAATATTCGAGAAACATATCTTAGTGTAGTCTCTCTTATTCTTATCTCGCATGAAATTTGTCAGATGTATGTAAATAATAAGGATATTAATTGACGTCAGATATTGATCGATATCGTTTTCGTCGATGATCGCGATGATAAAGAGATAAAAAAAAAATACATACATTGAAATTCAATCAATCAATTCTGCCAGAGGCCGCACCGCACACAAGATGCGCGAGGACACGTTTTCCGGTACCGTGAGATGTTTTGGCGAGATATTAGTGAAACGCACGAGAGAGATCTCGTCCACCTTAATTCGCCAGGTCAACGGATATCCGTACACGCAGGTTCCGAAAAGTGGCCGAGAAAGAGAGACAGAGAGAGAGAAAGAGAGCCGTCGCTAATAATAACTCGCCGATCTACGTGTCTCGCGTGTGTCCAGAGGCCGGATTTATATTTCGCGGTGCCGGAAACCGATTCCGAAATATCCCGCGCGAGAGACCGCGGAAGTATTAAAAGAATAATCCGGTGGGTCCACTCGCGCGCGAATAACCGCGCGCGCGCGCGCGGGATAGAGCATCGAAATCTCCGCCCACGAGATACGTGTCCCGTGCCAAAAACACACGGGATCGGTTTCGTCGTCGTTTGGACAACTCTCTGCTCGTATATATTTCCCGTGGGGAAATATATCGCGATCGGATACGCGCATTTCCGGTGCGAGAGGGGAAATGTTTTCTCCACGAGACGAGCTTCGTAAAAGAGAAACCGATGAGAGTTTTGGATTTTATTAATAAATCCTTCACTCACACGTATGTATATCTTGCATCGATCATCAAGCGTTAAATTGATTTTCATTCAATTTTCGATTTAATTGCCGTTCGTTTCGTACGCACAGTGTAGCGCGCGGCAATTAAAGCGAGGATAGTTAATATCGCCGTGATATCACAACTTCGCTGCTGAACTACTTCTCGTCAGTAGAAACGAAGAACGAATGAATCCGCAACTTCTATCGTGATTTGACGCCGCCGCTCCCATTCGTAATTAGTAACCCTAATTTCCTGTCGAAACGCGTAAGATAACGAGCGCTGACCAACGTTCCCTTCGCGCCTCTCTCGCGAGATTTTATCGCAAAACAAATCATGCCGATTTGCTACATCGTTGCATGCGAGTGCTTCAAATTGCCTTTGGATTTCTTATTAGAAGCACTTCGTCGTAACCGTCTGCTAAACTATCGCGCGAGCATCGCCAACAACAAAAAAAAAAAAACTAATTAATGCATACGAAAAATGAGGATACGGCGTGTCCGTGAACATTTAATCTCGCGTGTGAGTGACGTGCGTCCAAGATAAGTCGCTTCGGTGCGGCTTACAGTGTGAGACGATAGGAATAGAATGATAAGAATTGCGAGCGCGCCCGAGACTTTCCAGGGGTAACTAACCGGTACTCAAGTTCATTTTCGATGGAACCGACCGTCATGAAATCTCATCATCATGAGTAGAACCGTCGTCATTGTATATGTTTCACGTATTTAATTGCGCTGATTACAGTGGCCGCTTACAAACTTGCAAAGAAGAGAGAGAGAGAGAGATACATCAGTCTCTGTATCACGCGCTGTATCGCTGAGAAAAAAGTAGTTTCACTTGATAAAGACATAATTTGCCCGTGGAACTATTTCCCCTTCCGCGTCACATACTTGATTTAATTGACAGAAACGCCAGAAGTTTTTGTAAACGAAGCAGAGATTTAATCGGATATTAATTATTCTAGAAAAAAAAAAAAAAAAAACATGTGTATAATGTTCCATCAACTACTGTCTAAGGCGTATCGAAGGCTATTAAAATATGCTAAACTTATGTAAAAATTTGTATACCGGTTCTAATGGTATTAATCGATCGATCAAGAAGCGATCGAGTTCGTTATGTAACTTCACATCGTGACAAAAAAACGTAAACGCGCGCATCTGCCGATCACGGCGGATTGCTAAAAAAAAAAAAAAACAAACCGCGTTTTCCAAGAAAAATTTTCAATTTCATCCGAAAGCGCGTGTGCCAAGATGCGCGCAAGATCTCTTCAATGTCATACGTGGAGAATGCAGAATCTCAAAATGACGTTAGACGTGCGAGCGACGTAGGTTAGTGTCGCATTTTTTTCTTTAGGAAATTTATTTTCTTTCCAGAAAATTAGGTTAATGATGGATTAAATTAATTAGTGTATTTAAATTTGATCGAAACATTACGAGGAAAAACGATAATATTTGCAATATGTTACGTTTGTTATTTTTGCTAGTAGCGAACGAGGATGCTAATACCGTAGTAAATACAAGATTGAAAACTTCGACGGATGAACAAGCCCAACCGTCTATTTTGGACGATGCGATATCTAAATTTAATCCGGAAGCGGATAAAGATAAAGAATGTTCCGACACAAAATTACAGGACAAAAATGACGAAGATGACAAGAATGGTGAGTAATCTTCTGACAAACTTTCGCTCACGCACATTTTGTGCACAATATAACAATATCGATGTTGCAATCTATTAAAATCTGATATACCAAAAGGAGCAAAATGATTTCAGATACGTCCGTTGGTTCGAGCGATATTTGCAGAATCTGTCACATGAGCGAAAACGCTCTGATAGCGGAGAACAATTCATCGTGCGACTTGCAAAGTCGCGCGTCGTCAAACCTCGTGCATCTCGGTCCCTTAATTTCGGCTTGCAAGTGAGTTCTTTCTTTTCTCAAACTCTCGTGAGAGAGAAAAACAAACGTACACTATAATTCGCGGAATTATTGTGCGAACAAAAATCGCGGACTTCAAATCAAGGAGGAAAACTCACTCTCTCTCTTGAGAGAGAGAGAGAGATAAATAATGTCTTTTCTTGCGACTTAATTGCGCGACACAGGTGCCGTGGCACCGTAGGTCTGGTGCACACCGAGTGTCTCGAGAGATGGTTAACCGAGTCCGGACGTGTGAGATGCGAGCTTTGCGGTTTCCGATACGCGACCAAGAGGGTACGGCGTTACAATCTCTTTCGAAGCGTTTTAATATGGATACAGGCCGTAATGGCCAGTCGACAGGTGAGACAGATCGCGTTTTTTTTTGTTTTTCGCGCTTTTATTCCGTCTGAAACAACCTCAAGCCTTAAAGCCTGTTTAGATGATACGATTTTATGTAAAAGAAATACGGCGTGTTTTCAAAGATAAGCTTGAGAAGAATATCATAAAGCAATAAAAACAAAAACATTAAATGAACACAAATACGTACATAAATAATCGATATTATCACACATTCATTATTAAATAAAAATAATAAAACGTCATAGTTAATTAAAACGTCACAGTTGTTAAATTAAAATTATGTTGCACAATTGATATATCAGATATCAGATATATATTATATATATTTGTTTTTTTATGGCACACCTTATCATGGGGCTCGAACACCTTTTTCTTTTAATTAGATTTTTAATTACCATTAATTCGCGCTGTTTTAATACGCTTGTTTTCTTGTTGAGAAGATGTTGCTCGACGTCGGATATCTGGCGATGACCACACCCGTGGCCGCGTTTTCCTGCTACGTGTGCGCCCTGGCCTTGAAAATTATGCTGCAAAACGGCTTTTACGAGATACCCTGGATGATAGTTGCTATATTGCCAACCTGCTTATTGACGCTGATAGCTTATTGGCGCTGGATAATTACGTTAGGGAGGTACGTACGTCATTAAGTTTAAATCAGCTCGCGCTCGTGCGCTACGTCCGTGTGAGCTACCGTCGTGTGCGTAAAAAACGCAGGCCGTTAATGGCAAATGAGTTAATTAAGATATTACGAAGTGCGATTATGTAATTATAAAAATTCAGAGAATCGCAAGACTTGTGTGTGCGGGCAGTCGCGTCCGCGCGGTTAATGGACAGCTGTTGGAAAAATGGTTAAGGGGATATTCCGTGTGTACAACCGTGGGTATAATCGCGAGACGAACGGAAACATTAACGTAAATAATCGTAATTAAATGCAAATGGAAAAATTGGCGCGTCTCCTCGTATTACAGATTGCACGGTAATCGATGGCGACGCTATTGGAGAAACAATTTTGTGATACGCCTGATTCCCGATAACGAGGATAACACGGTCGAGCTGCGCCGGTGGAGCGATCGCTTCAACACGCAGGACGATTTCGAGCAATGGAGAATCGAGGAGATCGAGGAGTTCGTGTGATTTCGCGTTTCAATTGCGGATCTACGCGCGACCAGGGAACGTAGTTTGCAATTCGCGCGAAGACCGTTTTCTATCTTGATTCGCGCGTCTCTCCCCGGATTCGGAATCTTTATAAAACCGCGTAAATATTTAATTGTTTCAATTGGCACTGAACACTTCAATTAATGCTCATTGACGCGTGACGAAGACGATTAAGAGTTAAATTTGCTTCGCGGAGGTAAATTAAAGTGGCGCGGATTGCGCTCAGTCCTGTGTGTATTAGAAAAATTTGCTGCTGTTATTGAAAATATATAATAAAACAAAAATATATAAAGATTTATAGAAAATACAGATTTTACTACAGATTTTACTGCAGTGAATAATTTAAAATATTTAGTGCGACTGTATAAATAAATTTTACGATGTCCATCATTTAAACTTGTACTTTTTACTTCTTTCTACGATTTTCTAATGTTTAATATAATAAATATAAATAAATTTAAGATTATACAAACGTCTCGATGTGTTTTTATTACATTATTATTGAATCTATTCTGTTTTTATTTTTATTTATTTTAACAAGCATCTCTAAATTAAAATCATGATGCCGATAATACTAAAAATAATTTTTGCACGCAATTATTTAAAGAGTAGCGCGAATAGCTGTTCAAAAATTTGTTAAGAAAAATCTTCGAATTAAGATTCCACATTGTGCTTGCAATAATCACAAATCCGTTTTCGCAAACCTACAATATGTGTGTCAGAAAGAAAGATATTTTTATAACACGCGAATGCGGGACGAAAGCAAATGTAGAAAAACAGGACGGTACAAGTCGTTACAAACCTGATCCCCTCGAGTGACCGCCGTGTGCTACAGAATCCCGTTGAATTTCACTTTCGTTTTATCGCGAAAGTTTGATCGCCCGCACGTGGCTCGTATTATTTATGCACGTGTTTTTCGCACGGCAAAACAAAAATAAATATTTAAATTCATTAATAGACACGTTCTCGCCGCTACTCGGCATGTCGCAAGATCCTCGAAACAAAACTTCTGAGTCATATATCGAGATTGTCGCAGTGTGATAACGTCATTTACGAGTCCTTGTTACAGAGATGTGAGATACGCGTACGTAAAAAACAAAAAAAAAGTATTGACATGTGTTACTTTCGATAATCGACAAGAGTAAGAAATTTAAGACGCGTTTACTAAAAGGCCGCGTTAATCTTGTTTTCGTAAGAGATAAAAATAAAACACCGCGTAAGTTTTAAAAATAAATAAAAAATATAAAAACATTATTTAAATTTTAATGACACATCGGAAAAGATTCCGATGTGTCATTAAAATCGGCAATCTTTTCATGTTCGCGGTAATGAAGCGGAGTAATTTCGTTAAAAATCCTTCGAAAGAACAAAAAACGACCGGAATATCAATTACGTGTCTCAAGTACCGGATTCTCTTTTTCTCATGAAACATACTCAGATACGCTCGATGAATATATTACATTCCGCGGTACAAATGAATGTACGACGATGTTCGACATTTATCGTAAGAAAAGTCTTCTCGCCGTAATAACGATTGACATCGATACAAAATCTGATTAAAGATTTCGGATTTTTTTCAACATTTAAATCGTCGGCGGTCTCTTCGGATTTTTGTTCTTTTCGCTTGAATTCATCCGGTAACGAGCCGCCGACTCTTTTCCGTTCGTCGTTATAAACCGAACGATTTAATTAAGCGACCGACCGATAATCTCGGCACATCCGCTTCTTTCATTCCGCAAAAACATATTCCGTCGCTGTGTGTGAAAGTATTTTTTTTTTTTTCATTAAAAATCGAATTCTCGATTAACGTACACGGTAGTCTCGTAAATCGATTACCATTTATCGATGATGACTTAGTAATACGGCCGATAATAGGGTGTCTATCGTAACGAGACGATTTTATTAAAGCGATCCCGTACTCGAATCGATAACTTTAGTCCTGTGAAAACCGAGGAAAATTGATAAAAGAGCCGCAACGTTAATTTTGGCGTGATCAATCTCGCATCCGATAATGAGAACCTCTGCCCACGACGAATCCCTACGACGATCTGCCTGCATGTAGTTTACATTTTAATGCGCGATAATGACCGGCATCGTCGTCCGGCGTGCGTCGTCGTTGATTCATGACAGAATAATTATGCTCGTTCGAGTTTAGCGCGTCTTTCGCGCCGAGTTCACGAAAGTGTTCTCGAGCACAGAAAGTTCGCGCTAATTTCCACCGACGTAAATTAACGAGAATTACAAGTAAATTTCCTCAGCCGTGATTTATCGCAATTTGAAAAGAAAAGAAAAAAAAAAAATCTCTACGCAAGATTTCAATCTACGTGCGGTTTATTCGCTCGTTTTTCTTTGTTGCTGAAATCGTTGGAACTCGTGTCTGCTTAACGCGTCGAGGAAGAAATGAATCTTTTATGCGGCATCCCCGCGGATACATCCGGTTTCTTCCAGATTCTATGGGGCGATGCGCGGAACCCCTTGCGCTCCTAGACTCGGAAATAAAAAAAAATAAAAAACACAAGAAGAAACGAAAAGGACACCGACAAGGCAACACGTCGCTCGGTGAATCCTTACTCGCGACAAAAAATCATATTTATGCGGCGGATATTTGTCTCGTTGACAGACTTCTCTCCCACTGGTGGATTTACTGCGGACCTTGCGGGTCTTAACTTTTCGATCCGCGCGTGGAACAGACACAGGCGGGAACTTTTTTTCAAATAATTAATCATAAAAGAATCCCCATCACCTGTGTCATAAATTATCGAAGAATCGTGTCTTAAAATTGCCTGTTTAAAAAAACAAAAAAAGTTTCCTATATAAAAAAGGAGCCGAATATATCGCAATTATTGTTGCCTCTTTTCCGCGTTGCCGATTGATTGGTTGGTTGATCGAGTCGAATCGAATCGGTAAGATCGAGAGAGTAAATAATGGAAAGCGATTTTGAGACAGTTCGTCGTATATGTAGATAAAATTAAAAACGTAACTAAAGTCACGTGACAGGAAAGAGTAGAAAAACAACACGTGAAAATAACGTGACTGTAATTTATGTTATATATAACATTAAATAATACATATTATACATATAATTTATTATATATTTATAATATTATACTTTATATTGTATTATATGTATTATATACATACTACAGTAATGTCACTGACCTCGGCCGCGCGGCCTTGGCGGGGTCACTGACCTCGGCCGTGCGGCCTTGAGGGGGCATTGACCTCGGCCGCGCGGCCTTGACGGGGCACTGACCTCGGCCGCGCGGCCTTAGTGGGGGGAAGGGGATCACTGACCTCGGTCGCGCGACTGCGGCGGTGTCAATGACCTCGGTCGCGTGACTGCGGCGGGGTCAATGACCTCGGTCGCGTGATTACGGTATATATATATATATATATACATATATGCGTATGTGTGTGTATTATATATAGATATAGAATATTACATATAATATATATAATATTCTCTTTTTTACCCTTTTCCTTGTTACGTGACTTTAGTCACGTATTGTTTGTGTCGATATATTTCACATATAACGAATATATCGGAAAAATGTCCGATAACACACGTGTTTCGTCAATGATCGTTAACATGGTCTAACGATTTAACAGACACGCGCCAATAAACGCGCCTAGCCCTTCTTGAATCGCATTCTTTCGCGCGCATCCCCTTCGTCGATTTTATAATTAGATTTTATAATTAGATTCTAACAGAAAACGCGCGCGCGGTCTTCGTCGGAAGCGTTGTTAACATAATTACGGGAGATGTGCAATGTATGTTGGAAGTGTGCCGCGCGCCGCCGCGCCGACTCGACTTTGCAATATCATGCGAGAGCGCATTTATTCGAGCACGTGAGAGCATCATTAATGCGCGAGATCGGTTTATTTACGCTTCAGTAACTGCGATTAGCGTGTTTTGCGCTTCTGTGATTTTATCCGGGCTTTATTGGCTCGGGACGGTAACTCGAAGGACGAGAAACTCCCCGACGGTCGTTTCTCCGACCTGTTTCTCTCGTACACGATTAATGATTGCAATTCTGTAATGAACTGACTAATTAATTCGGTTAATATCGCTACTCTTTTATCACCTTTTATATGTTGCTCGTATATTTGTCGTTGAAAATTTCAAGAGTCTTATTTTATCGAGAGTTCGATGATGCGCACGTAAAAAGTTCAAGTTTTAATCAATTATTTACCTATAATTGTAGATATTTGTAAACACGAATCAAGCATCAGTTTATCTGAAAAATCTTTATAGGTGTACATGTGTAACCCGTGTCTTTATCTATTTCGGATAGATACGATGACAAAGTACATATTTTACAGCGGTCGGTACAAACAGTTCGAATCTACGAGTTTGATCGCGGCAAAAGAAGAGAAAAGTCTCGATAAGAGATAAAATTGGACACGGAATCGTTCCACTACGAGATAACAACGATATAAGTTAACCGCGTGTGAACATAGACGATGGAGTCGCGCCAAGAAATACACCTTGAGATGCGCATATTATACGCGCGCGTACGTACAAATGAAAACACCGACAATCTCCGAAAGTTTCTTCTTCACGCGCGATCGCAACTTGCTTCAAAGAAGAATCACAATATTCGAACAGACTGAGAAGAGGAAAAAAAAACACGTGACTAAAGTCACGCGACTTTACTGTACGCGACGAGAAAGAATTTGAACGACGCGCTTCGTTTTGTTCATTGAAACACCGCTCTCTAATTTGGTTTATAACGGTTTGAGAAACCGTTCTAAACTTACAGCTACTTTCGCGGATGCGCGTAAAAATAAGCGGCGCGCATAAACAACAACGCGAGCGAGAAGAATCGTCGTCGTCGTCGTCGTCGTCGTCGTTCGAATGTTTTCTGATTTCGTTGCTCGCTCTCGCGAGCAACGCTTTTTGCTCGCGAAATTCTTCTTTTGCGGACGACTTCCCGGATTTCCTAGCAATTAGCGTTATAATAACGTCAAGGAAACGCGATTTTACGAGCGCGGGCCGCGCGCGGCCACTTTTGCAACTACTGGTCGACGAATCGTCCGACGTTGTTTTATTGTTTCCAACTCGGGCGAGACGTAAAAGTAGCCGCGCGCGGTTTAATATCGGTTCCTGTTCGCGGAACAGCGATCACGACAGCGCGACGGAATGTATCTCGCACACGCTTTGAATTCCGTGCTTGAAATAATATCGAAAAATTGATTTTTAATCTTCAAAGTTGCTAATTCTGGAACTTGGCAAAAATGAATAGAACACACAACCTCAAAGCGCGTTCTTTTTTATCTGTCATCTCTGTTCAGGAGATCGTCTCGTCACGCTCGTCCGTATTCGTGACTTTGTCGGATTTTTTTTTTCACAGAACACACGGATGCGGAAACGCGGTCACGTTTTCGTTCGGAAGCTCGTGTAGGTGTGTCGCGTCTCTCTGCGAAGAGATAAAAAAAAAAAAAAAAAGATGGGAAGGCGATATCCTTCGGCAACACCCCGGAAACGCGCGCGGCGGACGAGCACGTCGAATCGGCTCGCGGAACACGCCACGGATCTCCCGTTCGCGTCTAGAATAGATATCCGTTTATATTTCGACGTTGTGTGTAAATTGAGCAACGGAGCGCTGTTGTCTTGATCTTGATAAAGCGAATACTCTTTGATAAACGATCGCGTTAATTATTGTTAAACGCGTTTTTTTAAAACGCGGAATAAAATTTCGCAAAGTGTAAACCTCTGAAATGAGATACATATTAAAAACTTCAATAAGAGAGAACCCTCGACGCGCGTCGATGACGTTTTGTTGATATCTTGTTTGTTAATTAAATTCATCGAGTTCGAGATTTTCTGCGTAAACGCGTAAAAAAAAAAAAGAAAATTTTTTTTAAACTCGTCCAAGAGGAGCGAAAACCGAGCGGCTACGCTGACTGGCCTCGATCGCACGCGCGATGATCCTCGAGATTATCCAGGAACGACTTATCGCGCACATACATATGCTTGCATGCGTGGTGTACGCGCACGTGCTCTCTCTCTCTCTATGTTATTATATTTTGTCGTGCCAGATGCCGGGACCCGGCTCTTGCTACTGGTTACTTCTGGTTTCGTACTCTAGCGGCGCGCGATGTATTTTTGGTGCTTGCGCGCGTTGCTGTATTTCGTTCCTCGTGCGAGAAAAAAAAAGAAGGGTTGAGAGAAAAAGCGGGGAGGAGGTTGAGAATTTGTAAGCGCGCGCGCTGTGCAAGCGGCGTGCCACGAATACGCAAAAACCGGAGCTCTGCATTTTACGAAGGTTGCGTGTTAACGAGCGTCGTTATCGTTTTGACGATAAATATCGCTGCTAGAAAACATATCGGATGATCGTACACTTTTTATACATCGATGTTGTATGTAAGAAAAAAACAACTGCTGCATTTTTAATCGCAATAATTTCAGGATCTTCCTCTCTCAGTGCGTTAGTACATAGAAAAATTATAAATTTATATAAAAATTAGTGTAATTTTTTTGGCGGATACACTAACGAGACAAAAAATTGTATAAGTAATCTTCAATGATTGCTTTTGTAATTACAATATACGTTTTGTTTTTGCGTCGCCGCGATATGCATTTTACGCAAATGATCGCGTCACTTGCCAACGTGGGAGAAATTTGATAAGTAATCCGCGAGAGAGACCCACTGAGAGAGGTTTCGATAACGGTGTATATAACACATTGTAATGCACGCGGGGCACTTTGCGAGTCCTATTGATCTCTTTTCTAATTGAAGGTCGACCACTCGATCGGAGTCCTCCGGAGACTTCAGCCGCGTGACAGCGCGTTTACGTCGTAGCACGCGCGAAACAGTGACCACGTGTACGCCGCCGACAGGCGAATGTAAACGCGAGATGTGTAAACGAGAATCGTTTTCCAGACCGGAAAAAGACCTCCGGGCGCGCGACACGAGGCCGATCGGCGCACAAAACAAATGTGCGCGGCAACACAAATAAAACGTAATGCGCAATCGTTGCACCATACTATGCAATCGTTCGACTCTCCGCGATGTCTCGGAGTGAAACGCCTGTTCGATTTGAGGAAACAGAAAATTATTAATCGCAAATTATTAGAATATAAAATTTTAACAAAAACTCTTAATTTGAAATATTGCGCAATAAAAAAATAATGAGCAATAATCAAACGTTGAATATCACTGCGTAACAATACGTCTTCGAATTTTCAACGCTTCGCGCTATCGCGACCGATTTCCGACGAGTGCCTCTTTCGTCAAACAAGTCGAAGTGTCGATAGAGGGGAACGGACAAAAATAAAAAAAAAAAATAAAAAAGAAACTGTGAAGGCCTCTGCAGATTTACTGGAGCGACGATCACAACTGATTTCCACGAGATACGTACCCGCATCTCTCCTAACCCTCTTATGGTATTTATTTATCTCGAGTGCGCGCGGGCCTCATCGTTCAATTTGCGCGAATATCTGCTCGGAACGTGTGTAGGTCGAGCACGAAACCGTTTTCGCTCGTTGATGCGATATATAGTTGCACACGACGTGTGTGTGTGTGTGTGTGGAAGAAAATATATTACAGATACGTACGTACATCACATCCAATCTCAACCTCTTTTCGAAATTGCTCTCAAAGACCGCGGGGAAATGAAATTTTATGTCATCGACAAACACGACGTCGCGCTCGAAACGATCGAATCGCGCGCGAGACGTGTGCAATTACGCGTCATCGTCGAGACGAGGATAATTATCAATTTTACGCCGTTATCGGCGCCGCTCATCGATTAATTCGCGCGTTAATAGACATATTATATTATAATTGTTAACCGCAGAGTCCACGTAATTTTCCGATAAATAATTATTTTAATTTTCCGATAATAATTAATTTTTTTTTCCCTCGGTAATTCGATGTAATATTCCTAAGCCTAGGGAATATAATCGTGAGAACGCGAAGCGCGTTGCGAAAAGATCGGAGATAAGTAATAATCAATCGTTCGATTATTGAAATATCACGCGATGCAAATTATTGAAATATCGCGCGCGAAATTGCAATACTAATAATCGCGATTCCATCGCGCGCACACATGAGATCTCACTCGCGAGCCGAGCGTGTTCGAGAGGATTGTGCGCGATGCGTACGCCGCGCCGAGCATTATTCCATTCCACGAGTAATGCGATCAAGTCGCGCGCGCGTTCGGGACCGCGCCGATTGCCAATTGTTTCTCCTTTTCAGGAAACGCTCGTGTGTATCTATCTAGTTTGAGCCGGGGGGGTCAAGGGTCGTCGACCTCGTAACGCTCAGAAAAGTACGCGGGGGTTATACATACATACATACGTGTCGCTGGTCAGCGACGGTCATTATGTTAACTGGCAATCACGGTAATGCTGTCATCAGCGTCCGTACTAACGGCAATAACTATAATGCAGCCATTGTGGGCACTCCCGCGTAATCCGGGCATTATACTTGGGAGTTTTCATTGACCACTACCGGGTGCGCGGATTCGAACGGGGAATTGATCGAGAAAAAATCGAAAAAAAAAAAAAAATTGCCGATCACGCGCCACGATAATGTGTCCGTTCGATCTAAATCGATCCAAATCGAATAACCATTCGATCGAACTACGAATCTGCATAATTGACGACGTCAAATGAAATAGATTGGTTTGGTTTTGCATAAATTGATTTGCGTGCTTGCATAAAAATTACGAAAATCAATTCGAAAGCATAGAAGCAGGAAAAGGAGGGAGGGTAATCGATCGACTTCTCGGAAAGATCAATTTTCTAGTTTCCTCCTCTTTTCTCCGTTGTTTTATGTAAAATTAAAATTAAATTACAGCACGACCGATCGATGCGAGCTATTAAAAAAAAAAAAATGTATGCGTGCGATCGACTCACCGAACCGTGGATGTTTCACGCCTCTCGCCCGATGCACGCCACGTCCGTGATTTTCTCGTCGCGCCGTCATTATCACTCGCGATGCATCCTGCTGCGCCTCGCCATAGGCGAGCACACGTAACTGTTCTCCTCTTCTCTTCTTTGGCAAGCGCGATGGGCTGTTGGCGAGAAAAATACTGTTACTCGTTCGCCATTGGACGACCGGACATCGGCGATGGATGCACGATCGCGGCATGAAAATGCGCGATCGTGACAATGTCAATTAATTAGCCCCCGACGACACCTGTAATTAAGCCCTCGTTACACGCGAGCAGTTCGTTTTAATAGAAACTCGAGAGATTTGAATTTATTCCCGCGAATTTATTAATTGCCGAGAGAGAGAGAGAGAGAGAGAGTGGACGACATAAATATAATTAAAAAAAAAAAGTAGTACCTCGTGTATATAATTATCGTGTTGTGTTGATTGTGTCGACGTTGGGAAAATGATTATTACATCGCTCGATATGGTTCGCTTCCTCGCGCGTGTCGTTTGCGTTTTGTTCGCGCGTCATAAGCGACGGTTTTTGACGTCATTTCTCGATCGACGAAATAAATCTCGCCGTGTCCGTATTCGACGACGACGACGACGACGAAGTCGCAATTCTCGACAATTCCGCGCGAACGGATTTCGCGAAATTAGAGTCGCGAGAACGTCGTCGCTATTGTGCATTTTGATTCGCATCGCGTTTCGTCGAGAAAAAAACGAGAAATAACACAAACCAAAAAATTTTCGGACTTCCTTTGTGTAAAATAATTTCTAACTTTCAAAAAAAAAAAACCAATATACACGTCTTGCAAATATAAAAATGTAAGTACACTCGATAGTTAGCACTCCCGAGGTGCAATCGGCGAAAGAACTTTCGCGATTTGTCGAATAACTTATGCCGAACACGCGCGTACAGCAAGCAAGGTGGAAAGGCACTCCACTTCCGGCAATGGAACCGATCGCATCCGGTGGAGATGGCGCGTATATTACGTACGTACGATCGCAACGTGTTACGAATCCGCGGTGCGGACCTTTTAGAGCGCGATCGGGGGAGGGATTTTTTACGGCCGCTCGTCGAGTCGATTGAAAAAAAAAAAAAAAAACGTTTTTCCTAATTATTACCTCAAGCACGTTGACGACGTTATTGCACGACGATAATTGCGGATTTAACGACGGAAGAGGCAAGAAGTCGCGACAGATGACGGTCGGAAATAATTATCGAATAATTGCTAATTGTAAGAAAAGATTTTTCAAGACTCGTCTCGCAGTTATTATATCCTGCGGATATGGCAACGCGTCGTGGCAACGCATCGCGATTGGTCGAGATTGGTTTTGTATATTGAAGTTTCGCGCGATTATTACCCGCGAGAGTCGCGTAATCTCGCGTTTCGGTTACTCGGGAATTCGCGCGCGAGAGAATGTGTCCGAAGGTTAACGCGCGCTTATTTCCATCTCCTGAAATATACGACGAAGCGAAATCCGAAGCGGAGAAGCGCGCAGCTGCGCGAAGCGTGCTCGAATAAATAAAAGCATCCACACCGTGCGGAAGGAGATGCAAGAGAGAAGATGAAAATTCTTCCGCACGTCACTTGGAAATAAATCGCCGGCCACTTTGCGCAACCCCCCGCGCGCGTTTCCACCCCGAGATATATACCGTGTGTCAAGATATAACGACGCGTTTCGGTGGCGTAATGCGCGTGTCGTCGTGCCCCATCCTTCGACGAGAATTAATCATCGTTTAAAATGCCCCCGCGAACCGACGCGCGACTCGTTTCGCGCAGCAGCGTTCACGAAATTCGTGAACGAAATTTTGTGAGCGAGATTCCTCTCTCTCCGCTCCACTCCTCTCGGTCCTCAAATCGTTGCGGCGGCCAACACGTTCTCGATTTTATCGCAGGATTTATATATCACAGAGTACGCGAGGCATGTAAGAACAATTATGTATTTAGATTAAATAGATACACGGTAATCAATTCTGTTCGACGATATCGTGTATCTTTCCAGTTGCGCAATTGATCTCGCCGGTGCGTTAATTACAGCTATTCGTATTATACACGGGCGCGTTCTTCGTTATTTCGGTAATTTTTGCGGCGCCACGGATTACGATTTAAATGCACGTGTGTGTGTGCGCGCGCGCGCACGAGCGCAAGTAAATCCGCGACTAAGTCGCCGTGAAGAGCTCGTTATCGCGATAGAATTGTTTGCGCCGTCCGGCTATATAGCTAATAAAGAGTCTTATCGGTTTATCTATCTTCCTGCGCGACGGGAGGAAGGAGAGAAAGAGTACAGTGAAAAGGGAAGAGGAGGAGATATCACGCTCACGCGGAGCCAGTTCCTTCTCCCGTGACTTAAAAGCGTCCTTTTATAAATACGTTGCACCTGGAAACCTTGAGCCCGCGCGTATCCACGACAAGAATCCTGGCGCGCGCGCGAGTTTGCGCTTTTTATCGGAGAGAGAAAAAACCGTTCCGCGAGATAGTCACGAAAACCATAATCGCCGCTCGTAAATAAAAGCCGGGACCGTTTTAGTCGCCGACAAAACGGCAACTTTGCAATTCGCCGATATCCCCTTTCGATGACTGTTAGAATCTCGCGAGCGATATCTCGTTTCTTCGCGCGTTCGAAATGGATTTCGATATATACGCGCGTATATCCCTCTTCTTCCTCCCCACCGGCTTCTAGGGGTCACCCGTGTAGCTTTCGCTTTCAGGTCTCCCGCGGTTCTCATCGTAAAAAGTTATATTTAATCTCTCGCTACCGGGGCGCGAGCAGGCTTTACGATTCCCCTCCGGCCATTCGATTTAGCGCTTTACGAGCGTTCGGCGGTCGGCACACGGCTCGGATCCGCCCCTGCGGCTGCTGCTGCCGGCGCGCACCTCGCAACAGACACACCACCCCGTGTCGGCGGTGCCCACGAGCGATCGCTCTTTTCTCTCTTACAACAAAGAACACGCGAACAAATTAAACAAAAACTTAGTTTATCGATCCTTGGCACACGTGAAATAAACAAGTTGTTGAAACAAAAGCGATTTAGAAAATCTGAAAAAATCGCGTGGCAGATAACATTAAAAATTGGGTAGTTCGAAAGACTATATTAACGCGTGGAAGATATTTTGTCGATCATTTTTTGGTTGGCAAATTTTTTTCAATAAGAAACGACGCGATAGAAACACTTCGCGACTTACTCTTTCGATTTTCAAGATGCGGCAAGGAAATATCATATTTTGCGCGGCGGGAATTGTATTGATGATCGAATGAAACAACAAGTGGATTTTTGTGACTCTCGTGTTCTCATTTACACATCAATCACAAATCTGCACGTCGTGGCTGCCGCTCCGAGAGAGATTCTTCGTTATCGAGACACACCGCGCTGTGGACGAGCAGAGAACGAACGAGGCGTCGCGAAATAAACCGGTTTCGTCGGCGCGTGTCATCGATACTCGCTTTTTAATCTTCTCGGCGATGCGCGCCCTGCGCGTCTTGTTATCTGAGACACACCGCGAGAACCTTATTCTTTTTTTTTTTTTTTCACGCTGTCATCCGAAGTGGAAGCGGATTTCGGTCACGTGAGATGTACGATAATGCCGAACGATGTTGGAAATCGAATGGGAATCGCATATCTCAGCGGTGATCGGTGACACGAAGCGCGTGTGCCATTAATCGCGATAAATCGATACACTCGCGATCACCGTCTTGCGTCGCTTTCGCGAGTTTTTTATTTTCACCTACTTCCATCTACTCACATCCGCTTCTGTTTCGTCATACGCGCGGTTCGGTTTCTCGAGTTTCTCAGTTTTTCCCCTCTTCCTGTTTCAATACCACGTATTTCGGCGAGTTTTACGGATCGTCTCCTTATATTAAATCAGACTTTAGAATAGAATTTGTAGCATTCTTTCAAAAAGAAACGAAAACCCGCGTTAACCGACCGTTACTAACGAAATTTGGGGATCAAAATTGCGGCAATCGAGTCGACACGCGCAAGATACGCAACGTCGGTTTCGCCGCACAGAAGAAGGAACGAGAACGATCGAATTATCTCAATAAAACGTAAACCGAAACCGGTACTTATAAGCTACCCAAATGATGAACGATATCTCGCGCGCGGACCGAATCCTTAAACTCCCGTCGGTCGACTCTCTGCTGCTTTACATATATTCATCGCTAAACGACGACGCGCTTCGTTAACGTTTTTGTAAATCTGTTCTCTCTCCGCTTCTTTTCTTCTCCCGTTTTTTTCTTTTTTTTCCCCAAGTCGCACTTTTTGAGGAGCGGAACGAGACACGTGCCGATCTCGCATTCGTCACGCCTCGAAAGCGTTTTCCGTGGAAAACAACAATTTCGCCACGTGTGTACACGAGTTTCGCTCAACTTTACTGAATAACGTTAATTATTATGCAAATTTATTAAACACACACACACACACGCACACATGAGGTAGATAAGTAACAAACAGTTGGCTTGATGTGTGTGTGTGTGTGTTTTTTTTTGAGAATATCACGAACATCATTGGATATGTTTTGACGGAAAATATATAACTGCTCCCACCTTTTCCCGGCTCGGCACCCTCGTAGAACGCAGGCGTATTTTCGTCGCGTTCCATTCCTACGCATCCCCTTCTCGCCCGGTCTCTTCTTCATCCTTTTCTTTTGCTTTTCACCCTTCTTCCTCTTTTTCCCCGCCCGAGAAACATTCAGTGCCGGTGCCGGTGCTACGGTTCCCGCTGCTGCGCTCGCTGCTGTTAAACGAGCGGATCGCCAGTAGCTATCGGCGCGAGCGCATCTGGAAAGAATAAAGTGCACGTTGCAAAGGGTTCAGGCAAAGCGGTCGTGCAAGCGACATCGCAAGTCGGCTTCGCAACGTAGAGACATGCATAAGTAACAGCGCACCCGAGGGAAGTGTGACTACTATTCGTCGAGATATGAACTTGACGAGGTGCGCCAAACCCGAGAAATTAAAAAAAAGAACAAAATCCTTTGTTGTTGCTCGACAATGCCAACTCAAGTTATTTTCGTCACGATTTCGCCGTTATCGGATCCAAATCTT